AGTGAACCAGCAGTTGGAAGTATATCTCTCTCTCTTTCTTTCTCTGTATTCCTACCTTTCAAATAAATAAATAATTCTCTTTAAAAAAAAAAGTGCTATAAAATACACATCACTTCTTAAAGACTTTGTATAAAAAAGTAAAATACCTAATTGATAATTTCATATTGATTACATGTTGAAATAATAGTTTGGATGTATTAGGTTAAATATATTATTAAAATTAATTTCATGTAATTCTGTAAAAATTTTTTTTTTACTTATTTGAATGGCAGAGTAACACAGAGAGATCTTCCATTCTCTGGTTCACCCTCCAGATGGCTGCAAAATCTGGTCTGAGCCAGTTTGAAGTTAGGAGCCAGCAAAGCCATCCATTTCTCTCACACGGATGCACAGGTCCAAGAATTTGGGCCATCCTCCACTGTCTTCTCAGGCATAACAGCAGGAAGTTGGATGGAAATTGGGTAGCTGGGACTCAAACCTGCAATCCAATATGGGATGCTGGCATCACAAGTGGAGTCTTAACCCACTGAACCATAATGCCAGCTTCCACATGGCTCTTTTAACTTTTTTTAAAAAAAGATTTATTTATTTATTTGAAAGTCAGAGTTACACAGAGAAGGATAGGCAGAGAGAGGTCTTCCATCTGCTGGTTCACTTCCCTGTTGGCTGCAATGGCCAGAACTGCGCCGATCCAAAAGCAGGAGCCAGGAGCTTTTTTTGGGTCTCAAAATGGCTGCAGGGGTCCAAGGACTTGGACCATCCTCTACTGCTTTCCTGGGCCATAGCAAAGAGCTGGATCGGAGGTAGAGCAGCCAGGACTCGAACTGGCACCCATATGGGATACTGGCACTGCAGGCAGCGGCTTTACCCACTACGCCACAGCGCTGGCCCCCCTTTTAACTTTTTAAAATATGATTATCAGAAATTTTTAAATTATATACGTGGCTTATATTTGTGGCTTGCATTTTACTTCTATGGCCTACTTAGAGAATGAATCAATACTTTGGAACTGTTTCTTTTTTATTTAAAGATTTATTTATTTGAAAGGCAAAGTGACAAAGACAGATGGTGTGAGGGGGTGGGGGGGGAGAGAGAGAGAGAGAGAGAGAGAGAAAGAGAGAAAGAGAGAAAGAGAGGAGGTATTCCATTCACTGGTTCAATCCCCAAATGGGTAGCTACAGCCAGGTTTAGGCCAGGCAGAAACTAAGAACCAGGAACTCCATCATGATTTCTAACTTGGGTTGCAGGGACCCAAGTACTTGGGTCGACTTCTACTTCTTACCCTGGTGAGGTAGCAGCGAGCTGGATTAGAAGCAGAGTAGGTGGGACTGCAAGTGGTGGCTTAACCTGCTGTGCTACAAGGCTCATCCCCCTGAATAGTTTCTTTGGGCAGAATAAAAAGCACTGGAAAGTCAGTTCTGAAATGGAATCACCAATGATGCAGAGAAATACAAATGAGTCCCCATCCAAACCTGAATAATGATAAATCATGCTAAAACACAAAAGTCTGCCTCAATAAAACCTGTTCTCTTTTTTCTCTGAAATAAAAATAATTCATATTTAACCTTCAATTGCATAGGAATAACCTTTACTTTTAGCAAAATTATTCTCTGAGTATTGGCATAATATACTAAATTGGGATTCCAAGATACTAGTTATAGCTTCCCTTAGCAAAAATGATTTAAGTGCTGGAAATGTTATTATTCTTTTTTTTTCTGAAAAGATTTTAATTAAATTTTCTATCTACCTTACAGGATTTCATTTTTGTAAAGTGCCACAAAAGCATTTTTGAGAATGTACACTCTATTAGGTACAGCTTAGGGACACTCTCAAGTCCACTCAATAAAATGATTTCCACTACTCTACCTTCATAGCTCACTGTCCTCTCTCTATTGTTTAACCTTTTTAAATTATTTCTAGAAATTCCAACAAGGCAAGACAAAGAGGATAAGACTATTATTGGTGATTCCATCTGAAGTAAGATATCTGAATGAAATGTTTACATTTGACAGTAATTTAAATATATTGTTATATATTATTCTTATTATTAGATTTCTTTTTAAAATTTTATTATTTATTTATTCAAAAGGCAGATCTACAGAAAGAGCAAGAGATTGTCATATTTCTAAACTGTTAAAATAGGAAAAAAAGCAGGATCACAGCTGGGCATTTAGTGCGGTAGCTTAAGGAAACGCTTGACACATCTGCATCCTCACATCCATCCTCACATAGAGTCCTGGCTGCTCCATTCTTGATCCAGTTTCCTGCTAGTGTGCACCCTTGGTGGCAGTAGATGATGGCTCAAGTATTTAGATCAGAGAGCCAGATGGAGCCCCGGGGCTCCTGGTTTCAGCCTGGCCCACCCCTGACAATTGTGGGCATCTATGGGGGTAAACCAATGGATGGAAATTCTCTCTCCCGTCTCCTTCTTTCTACCTTTCAAATAAAATGAAAATAAAGAAATTTAAAAGCTCCAATGCTTTGTGATATGCTCAAATAGTTTTTAAAAATCAAGATGAGAGAGAGAGAGAGAGAGAGAGAGAGAGAGGGGCATGATGTCTATACAATACTGCTAGAAAACTAGAAATGGCAATGGTACAGTAGCAACAAATACAAATCCTAGAATTTGTGTAGTAATAGAAAATTATTTTATTAAAGCCTATTGGGTCATTCAAAGGAAAGGGAGATGCATTTGAATTGCTATTTGTAAAGAAACAAAAATAAAGAAAAAAATACAGAAGGAGAAATACAGACTGGCGCCGCGGCTCACTAGGCTAATCCTCCACCTGCGGCGCCAGCACTCCGGGTTCTAGTCCCGGTTGGGGCGCCAGATTCTGTCCCAGTTGCTCCTCTTCCAGTCCAGCTCTCTGCTGTGGCGTGGGAAGGCAGTGGAGGATGGCCAAGTCCTTGGGCCCTGCACCCGCATGGGAGACCAGGAGGAAGCACCTGGCTCCTGGCTTCAGATCAGTGCAGCGCGCTGGGCGTAGCAGCCATGTGGGGGGTGAACCAACGGAAGGAAGACCTTTCTCTCTGTCTCTCTCTCTCACTGTCTAACTCTGCCTGCCCCCCCCAAAAAAAAAGAGAGAGAGAGAGAGAGAGAGAGAGAAGAAGGAGAAATGTAAAGGGGATCATGTGGTCCTTTTATTTTTGATGTTTTAGTTTTTACAGATTTCTTTTTTATGTTTCTATACAAGGGGTATTTTAAGGAAAGTCTTTGGAAGAATGGATCTGGACACATGCTGATCATATAATCTGGAGAGAAAAAGGTGGAGATGTAGGAAGAGAGACAAAACTACAAGGAGCTCTCATATACCATTGTCCATCAACACATTAAGCAGGACTGTCTAATGCTGATAAAGGCAGAAAGCTGAAGGAATCTGCATTTTCCACAAAGTAGGGAAAATAATTCTTAAATTTATCACTTTTTTAATACTTACTATACCAAACCAAAATAAGAAAATATAACTGGGTCACAGGATATTTAAAAAATGAAGGAATTTAGAAAGTAAAAATTCAGGTCTCTTTAATTTGATAACCACCACCCAGGCTTATCATTGTTTTCATGTATCTATATCTCTTTTATTGATCAAAAATAAAATAAGAAATAAAATCACTTTGAAGTTAGAGGTAGATTTTAATAGCAATTATTAAATCTCTTACCTATTCTTATTTACCTTCATCTAATTTCCTATTTCAAATTATCTCCTGATACTTCTTAAAGAGTATGATATAGTTTCAAGAGTACATTATTAAGATTAAAAATATCCTGATAGACATTTTAATTATTTGGGGGGCCAGCGCTGTGACGTAGTGGGTAAAGCCACCACCTGCAGTACCTACATCCAATATGGGTGCCGGTTTAAGTCTCGGCTGCTTCACTTCTGATCCAGCTCCCTGCTAATGCACCTGGTACAGCAGCAGATGATGGTCCACGTGCTTGGGCCCCTGCACCCATGTGGGTGATCCGGAAGAAGCTCCAGGCTTTAGATTGGCTTAGCTCCAGCCATTGAGGCCATTTGAGAAGTGAACCAGTGGATGGAAGACTTCTCTCTCTCTGCCTCTGCCTCTCTATAACTCTGCCTTCCAAAAAACTTTGATATGAGCTATACTGTACTTTAAATAAAGTATACGAATACATTTTTAGACTGTAAAATGTCATATCTAAAAGTAAGATACAATTATCATTATAACGAAATGGTTAAGGTACCATATCATAATATACACACCAATAATGTAACTTCTATTTGAATCCAATATGTCTCATCTGGTACTTATTATTTTCTCTTATGTGGAATAATTATGTATAAGTCATTTTATGATACTTTAGGAGCTTCAAAATCATAGGCACATTTTATTATAGTTAACAGCATCTAACATGGTACCTTGCAGAAAGACACTCAAGAAAATAGCATCCAGTAAGGACCAAATTAGCTACTGGGCAGGGGTTTTGATCTATACCAGTACAAGTGCATACAGATGAGAGCAGCTTTATTTCCCTTTAGTAATAATGTAACCTGATGCTAAGCAGGGTCTGGTGTGCATTCAATATCTGCAGTAGGTAAAATATGATTATCTTAAGTGTGGAGATGTAAGCTCTAAATACAGAGATTTTCTCATAGTATTTTTCAGACCATATTAACTTTACTCATTGAATCTGGAATTCCATTGAGCACGCTGCCTTCTGTGCCTTATATCCATACTACATTTCTCCTTCAACAGAAGATTCCAAGGAGGAAAGAAAAAACATTCTACAACTAGGAACACAGAGTGGGAAAAAGAAGGCAGACGGAGATACACAGGACAGACAGATAGACAGGCAGGGACAGACACAGGAGAAAAATAGAGAGATTCAGTATGAAGCAGTTCTTGGCCACAGAATTGAGGCCTGATCTGATGAGGCTTATCTTCAGGCAATGGAGCTCAATGGGAGGACAGAAATGTCACTCAATACTGAGTGAACACATTGGCAAAAAAACCTGCAAACTGGAATATTTCTGTACCTTAATATCAGATGTATCACGCTGACTGTTTCGCCACGCTCTGGAAACTGATGAAAAAGTTCGATCTGCGTGATCAAATTTACCTCCTTGCAAATTTAGGAAATATGTTGTAAAGGGTTCCTGAAAAAACAAGCAATTAAAATTCATACCTTCCCTCAGGCGTAAGTTGCTTATTATAAATATTTACATATGAGCACTTTAATAACTAACGAGCATTAGCCAGTAATATATACTAGGTCTGGATGGGAGTTTTATCTAAATTGTTACATTAAGGTTCTTATTTTTGTTTCAGAAGAAATATTTCTAAGCATTTTCAAAATGTGGTATATGCAGCATTTTCTTCAGATGTTCTTGCTTTCTTAAAACAATTTATTGATAACATCAGACGTAAATTACACGCATTTTCTTTAGTACAGTGAAATTGTTCAATGTGTAATTTTCCTATTGTTATGGCTCAATATTTAATTAATGATTAAGAAAAGAAAAATGTTTGGAAGATTTAAAAGCCTCCTCTTAGTTAAAGAACACTTAAACACATATTAGTAGATAATTGCTTGAAATTAGCTAAGCACTATAAATTACTTCTAGGATTTATGTCTGGCTGTACCCTTCTAACAAGCTTTAATTAATGATGTGCTGCTAATGCCTTCCCAAAGAAATTACTTTCTAGTAGATGAATCACCTTTCAATTTTATAGAAAAATTTCTTGTTTAACCAATATATTATCAATACACACAGCATTGGCAACCTACAAACATATCTTACTCTATCTGGAGCAACTGAAGTTTCCAAAATACATGAACATCTGTCCGTGTTAATGAAATCTCATCTAGTTCTTATTCTAACAGACTACATTTGAAAAGAATCTATGTTACAATTTAGAATCTGGTAATTCAGCAAATTTATGGAAAAATATTTCACACAATTCTAGATAAAATATCTTTAAGGCAATTCTGTAGTAATATGTTAGAAAGTATATACCAAATGAGACACATAGTTATAACTAGAACCTAAATCATTTAAAAATATTTTTAGCATTCAAAAAAGACAATGATGATTTCTAATCACTGCATATTCTCTACAACACTGAATTTATTTAGTCATGGTTTATTACTCAAATGGAACTTACAATTCTTAGCAGCCATGCAAGAACAAAACTTGCAGTGGAGTAATGAGTTCCATAGTGGAACTTTGGAACTTGATCATCTTCCCATGATTCATAACGCTCTGCAAAGAACGCTGCTCTTTTGGGATTCAAAGCTCCTACCGGCTGTCAATGGAAAACAAACAAAAACATAAGTGTATCATCCTTTATTTCTTCCTTTCTTCTAATGTTATCCTATTAGAAAGTGTGAAAGTGAAGTTTTAAAAATATATAGAATTTCAGTGAAAACAAAGTGTTTCGTGTGAAGAATGGATGGAAAAACAAATTTATTTTTTTCAAGACAGGTTAAACATACATGTATGAGAGTAAGTGGATGGATAAACTTGTCATTTCTCCATAAGTCTAGTTTCTGTTGCAGATAGGTTTAATCAGCCCATAAGAATCCCATGGAGACAATTACATGAAGTGAATATTAACTCTGCAATATTTTGGGAAGCACCTATAAAATCCCATATAGTTAGCTGGAAGCAACAACCAGAAACAGAATCTTGAAACTGGAGGATTGACTTATAATGGGTTCAGAGGAGATGATGGAACAAAACTGGGGCAGGGGTGAAACGGAGTGCAGGGAAGAAAATGTGTGCAAAAGGGATTAAGATGTAACTAGAAATTTCTACTAGTATGAGTATACCAAAAACAATACATTGCGGTAGAGGTCCCAGAAGTAGTACAGCACAGTGGTAAAGAACCTGAGCTTGCTGGAATAATAATAACACCCACTTAGAAGGCTGTTTGAAAAGATAGAATGAGTGAGCACATTAAAGCCCTACAAACCAGGCCTGACAACATTCAATGAATACTATAATTTTTAAGATGATCTTTTAAGATTCAGGTAAACATCTGAATAAAATAATTGTATATAAAGAAGTTGGTATGTTATCTAGCACAAGAACAAAATCTCAATAAATATTATTTGGTATTACTATTGCCACTACCACTGTGATTCAGGAAATACGACTTCATTAAATAATATGCAAAATTTTGTGATTATGTACATGTATATTTTCTTAAGGAAGATAGAGCATTCTTCAGATTCTCAAAGGGTCTAGGACTCATAGAACATTAACATCACCTGCTTTAAATAACAGTTATTGCCCTAAAACATTTTGATCTCTAAAAAATCTCTATTCCTTATTCTTAAATACCAAGTCACTGAAAAAATATATATTATATTGTAAGATTACATAGTAAATATAGTACAGTCTTTTGCCTTACATATTTTGGTGAAATTCTGAGTTAGTCACTCCTCATTTATAAGAGACAGAAATATCTTTTTATGGCAGAAATGTTCAAACTAAATAAAAAACATTAATTTAATCATATATTCAGAAGTATTCTACTAAAAATGTAACAACACTCAGGCCAGTTTTTGATCTTTTTTTTCATGTTATGTGATTTTAAGCGCCATCCATCATTTTTTTCAAAACTTTTATTTATCTTTGGTACCATTCTCTTTCAAAACTTTGAATATAATCAATGACATTTAAAGCCATTCTTTAAATTTATAAGCAAATTTTTAAAATATTTAATTGATTACTATTTCAAGTTAGTGTCACAATCCACTAATTTTAAAATGCCATATTGTCAAACGTAAGTTTCTGTATAAAAATTATATTTGATTTACTAAATGTACACCAGTGAAAAATGGAACCAACTCTCAGACTTCTTTCTTTGTTACAGAATCAATTTGGAAAGCCTTTAAATATATTTTAGTTGTTGTCCCTGAAGGCTAAGCCATACAAAAGGAAAGAAAGAAGAAATAAAATCATTGGAAGACAAATTATACAAATTAAAAATGGAATCAATGCTCCTTTTGTATGGTTCTGCAGCATATTAAGCACTCACTTTATCTGCTCCTATTTTTATTACTCTCCAAATGAGTACCCCCCCAAAAAAATCAATAGTTATAGAATCACGTTTCTTGAATATAATGCTAAAACCAATTAGGATTGATTTCACTAGAGTCTGAAAAAAAATGGCATCACGCAGAGATCCATGTAGGTAGAACCCACAGTATTGATTCCAGCTGTTATTGTTACAGTTGGTTTCTGAAATCTTCTATAGGACAGCTATCAAGACATACCACATTTATTTGCAAGCATATAAAAAAGAAGTCCCCAAATAAAAGAAGGGTAAAAAAAAAAAAAAGAAAAAGACCAGTGGAGCTGTGCAATGACAATGATACACTATCAGCTTACTCAGAGAAGTTACAGTGGGAATACACACATTGAATTATACATTACGCGAAAGCGCTGATTTATTGTGGTAATAACATCCACCTCATTAAAAGATTCTGCTTTGCTGCAGTTGGAAGGCTACATATTGTTTACTGCTATAAATTAATGGCAGTGCAAAGAAGACTGTGGAACCGTCCTAACAATAGATCTGTAATGACAGTGCTGTATATCACAGCTTCCTCGGCAGCTTCATAATAAAATGGAGACAATGTATTGAGCTAATACATTCTACCATGCTGGCCCATATTTTCCTGACAACTGCTTTAAAAGATGAGCTGAACCCAACTATGTTATAATGCTGCAAAACATTTAACTAAGCAAGAGTCAGTCACACACCAAAGTGCATCCAAGCATTTTAAACCATTGTCTAAATCAGCATTTCAAGATGTTTATTCATCACTGTAAAAGAACCAAAAGTAAATGCTGATGGTTCCTCTTACTTATACAGTCTATTAAGAGTAACAATTGCAAGGCAATACAAGAAGATGCCTACCTCTTTCATCCTATACAGAGCTCTTTACAATTTAAAAAGCTGGCCACAGTGTTTTTTTAAATCAGCAAAATTTTAAAGGGAGACAGCCAAAAATACTGGTCATTAAAAATGGTCACAACTTCTTAGAAAAAAATCAACAAAAAAGTAGGTATTGATTAGAAAATATAAAAGTTGGTGTAATTCAAGTTCATACCCTTGAAAACATAAATTTTCTTAGGATATACAAATAATTTTAAACGCTACAAAAAGCTAACAGATAGGATTAAACAAGATTTTTGAACTGTGTAAAACAAAATAAATCTCAGTGGTATGAAAAATAGGTTCAAATAAAACAGAATAATTTAAAATGTAGAGTATCAGAATTAGCAACAGAGACACTATATTAAAAAATAGAAATAAGAACTTGAATTAAAGTTGGAAAAGACAAATTACAGAAAACAAGAAAAACAAAACTCTTAAAAATGGAAGGAATAGGGACCAGCACTGTGGCATAGCAAGTAAAGCTGCCGCCTGCAGTGCTGGCATCCCATACAGGCACCAGTTTGAGTCCCGACTTCTCCTCTTCCGATCCAGCTCTCTGCTATGGACTGGGAAAGCAATAGAAGGTGGCCCAAGTCTTTGGGCCACTGCACCCACGTGAGAGATCTGGAAGAACTCCAGGCTTCTGGCTTCAGATCATCCCAGCACCAGCCATTGCAGCCATCTGGAGCGTGAACCAGTGGATGGAAGACCTCCCTTTCTCTCTCTCTTTCTCTCTGCCTCTGTAACTCTGCCTTTCAAATAAATAAATAAATCTTAAGGAAAAAAAAAAAAGAAATGGAAGGAATAAACCGCCCTAAAGATATCACTATAATCAGGATATTTTAAGAATATCATAAATAGCAAAGATGACATCTGTAGCAAGTATTTTGCTTTCAAGATAGTACTGATATTTCTGATACTTTTTAAAACAAAGTATACAGAAAATTATTTTAATGAGTTTGTAAGAATATTACAATAAAAACATATTTTATTACCTTCTTTGAAAGATGTAATTTTGTCAGTTAACAACAATATTAAATGTAAAGTGCCTAGGTCAGCGCCTGACACAGAGTAAGTTATCAACCATAATAAAAATAATTACTTCTCAGGTTATTTGATTAAGATAAAAAAAAATCACTGAAGTCTATTAAGAAAGAACACAATTAAACATCACAGCCCTTTAATATAAAAACAGGAAAAAGACCATATAGTATTGTGTATTATCTATCAGGAACCTAATTATACACAAAAGTCCCAATCAGCCGAAGTTCCTTACCTCAAGAACATAATGAAAAATAAAACTACTTTGGAAAAAATCCAAAAGCCTACAAATTTTGCTATAGAACATCCAGCCAGTTAGAATCATCTTTTATTATTTTACTTACAACAGTTTTGGGGGCTGGCAAGCAAGTTGAGCCACCACCTGTAATGCCAGCATCCCATATAAGTCCCAGTTCGTGTCCTAGCTGCTTCACTTCTTCCTGTCCAGCTCCCTGCCAAGACAGCTGAGAGGGCAGCAGAGAGTGGCCCAAGTGCTTGGCCCCTGCCAGCCACGTAGGAGGACCCTGGCCTAGCCCTGGCTGTTGCAGCTATTTGGGGTGTGAACCAGCAGATGGAAGATCTCTCTCTGTCTCTTTCTCTCCGTCACTCTGCCATTCAAATAAATAAATCTTTTTGTAAAAAAGTTTTAGATTCTCTGACCCCTTTAATGGCACAGACTCATCTAATTATAATAAAAGCTGCAAAAAGAAAAAGTATCTATTTTTCCCTTTCTTGTCTTAAATTTTAAGAACTGTTACTTGAAGTTATCTAATAAAGAACTCAAGCTTACATTTTCTAATTCACAATACATGATAAGATTATGCATTTTCACAAAAACTACGATAGGTACACACCCCTATTTTATTTCGGAGGCACACAGACACAGAAATAGAGAAGGGCAGACCATCAGATGGTCCACTCTGCAAACACCCACATAGCAGAGGCTGGGCCAAGCAAAAGCCAGAAGCCGGGAACTCAGTCTGGGTCTCCCACTGAGTGGGAGGGACTCAGTTACTTGAGTTGCCATCTGCTGCCTCCCGGGGTGTGCATCAGCAGACAGCTGGAATGTGGACTGCAGTCAGGACTCCAAACCAGGTACTCACTCAGAAATGGGAAATGGGCATCCCAAGCATCACCATAACTGCTAGACCAAACACCTACTCCATTCATATTTTAATAAGAGAAATGAAGTATCTTAAGTAATCTAGCTCAAAATCAACTTAAACCTAGGAGACTCAAATCAAACATTTACAATTCTCTCTTTGGGCCATTTTACCTATCAAAAATGATCGCATTACAAGTTGGTTTTCCTA